GCTGAGATCCATCCGAGTGCCCCCAACAGGCAAGCCCGACAGCCTGGTGGGTCAGAACCTTCCTACATGGTTATCCACTCCTGTGGTCCAGGACTGTCACCCCGGAGGGTGGTGCGGGAGCCCCACCTGCTGTAGCGTCGAGCCCGTGGCCACACTGCCAAGCTGCTTCCTCAGTTCCTCAAGCTCCTGCATGGAGATTTTGGAGGCCGTGGCAGGGGCACTGAAGTTGGTGGTGCCGCTGCCTGCAGCGCTGGCTGCAAGCTCGGCGCGTTCTTTCGCATTCTGTTGTAAATACTGCAGAGTCTGAAAACACACAAGATCGTGATCACATGGGCCAGCTCTGCAGAGCACAGCCAGCCCCTGCTTCCTTCCTTCCCGACTCCATGTGGAGGAACAACAGGACCCCACGAGTCCCTGAGCTGCAGTCCAGTCTCTTAGCGTTTGCTGCCACAAGGTGCCACAGCTCCAAATCAGGAGAGGCGGATAATCCTACGGCCGCTCAACAGCCAATCCCCAAACTCCGTTCCCAAGGGCACAGCCCCGTCTCTGCACTCGGCCAGTCTCCCATACTGCAGCGGGACCACTTCCCTTTGTCCGTCCCCGGCGCAGACAGTCAAATGTGCCTGGCCGCATCCTTCACCCCGAAACAGGCCCTGGGCCTGCAGAGGGAGAGGGCCAGGCACCTCCCTGGACGCTCGCGGGCGCAGCGGCTCCTCCAGCCTCGACACTGAGTGCTTTCCTTAGTGTTGCAAATGACACATGTACAATTCACAACACATGAAAACACAGCATGAGACAACAAAAAATAAAGCCCCCACCCCGGGAGGTAACGCCTGGAATACTTCTCAAGTTTACTGCCAGTGTGAGCTACGTTCGCTCTGAAGCACCACAAATACATCCCTACTTTACCTCAAAGTGCCACTAGCACAGAGCAGGGAAAGCAGCACAGAAATGTGCCATCAGAGGCACTGTCTCAAGGGAGCAAATCTCGTAAGCGTCCACCGGCGCAACCCCCCGACACAAACTCCGTCTGAAACCCGCCACCCGTTCGCCTTTCCCGACACTCCTGAAGTGAGCCCACACAGCCGTTACCTCTCTGTCTTCCGTGAGTTTTGATAACAGGTACACTAGTGGGTCAAGGTTCCTTGTGTTTTTAGATTTCAGTTCATCATACTTCTTTAGAAAGTCTTCCGGAGTACGAGAAAATTCTGCTATTTTAACCTCAAAAGCACAAACACGAGAGATTCAGTGACAATAACTTTTAAAAAATCTTCCAGAAAATAAAACACAAAAACCAAAATAGTGAAATTAGGTAGGCTAAATGATCACATACCTCTGAAATAAGACTTAAACCCAACAAACATTTTGTTAACCCTATGCACGGTCTCCCCTGTAGTTTCCCTCCTGTTATGCTTCCTCAGCCTGAGATCAGGAAATAACCACTTAGATTTTTCTACCAGTTTATGCATTTGCTTCATACATTCAATGCTATTCCCTTTGTAATTAGGCTCAGGGGTTATGTTTGCTCATTGATTTATGATGTTCCCCTTGTTATAAATTAAATTCACTTTTGTGTTCCCAAACACTGTCTGCTCAGTGAATTTTCCTAATTATCCTGGTGCCATTATTAATCTACTTAAATAATTGAAGTTTCATGATGTGTTTCTAAAAATAAATTTCAAAATTCTCTCTTACTGAAAATCTATAATTTTGAATTATATACTATTTGAATAAAGATAGAAAAATCTGCTTTAAAGGGATTTCAATAGAGTTAATACCAGAAGATTCCTTTTCAAGTTTTTTATTTATTTTTTTAAAGTAATTTTTACACCCAATGTGGGGCTCTCAAACTCATGACCCCGAGATCAAGAGTCGCATGCTCCAGGCAACTGAGTCAGCCAGGCGTCGCCAGGAGCTTCCTTTTCATCCAGAGGAATAGGAGTCTCCTTCCTCATGGGACCCAGAACCTGGGTTCTAAAGTCAGGTTGATAGCCCAGCGCTCTCCCTGAGCCTCCAATTACTCATCTGTACAACAGGGTGAGTTACAAGAGCCACTAAGAGGAATCATCTTCTGATGATTGAGCACAAAACTTGGTCCAAGAAAAGCCTTTAACAAGCATTGTCTGCCGTCAACACTGGTGATGCTGTGGCTGCTCAGGCAGGAAGCTGGTGAACTCTGTGCACAGCGCTGCACCAGGACGGGGCCCGCCTTGCCCAGGGCACAGCGCTGCACCAGGACGGGGCCCGCCTTGCCCAGGGCACAGCGCAGCACCAGGGACGGAACCCACCTTGGCACTGTGTGCAGATACAGTTGTTGTGACATAGGGGGTCCTATTCTTCTGCAGCAGGTCAATATAGACCTCAGCCCCATCCCCTCCGTGGACACGCAGCAAGCTGAGCAGCTCATTGACATCATGGTGAATCCGAAATTCACTCATAGTTTTGGCTCTGAAACAACATCACAACAGGTTTTCCTAAAGATAAGAGGAAAGCCATTTATAAAAACAAAACTGTGCTAACAGCTCTAGTGGAGACGAGGCCCAACTTAAATATCAAGCATCAAGCAGAGAAGACTCAGCACACACTCCCACATATGCTAATTAACTAATGAATATTAGTTTGCAAATCCACACTGAGAAAGTGAGGCTCTAATCTCCTAGTATATAAACATTTAAAACTGGCCGGAGCCAGGGTATCTCCAAACATAAAAGCAGAACAGTTACGCGTGAGCATACATACTTGTAAAATCAGGAGGTGCTCACAGTAATCAGTCACGGACATGAGGTGCAGCAGGGCCTAGGTTGTGGAGTCCCAGCCAGTCTGAACCCTGACATGGCCAGTTCTGGGCTAGAGGGCCCTAGGCAAGGAGCTTGTCCTCTCTAGGCTTCTTCTGACAAGGGGTGCCTAGTAAATCCTACCCACAGAGCTGCTGTGAAAGCCCCAAAGGGCCCATACTTGGTAAGCTCCTATGGCCTTGTTACTAGAGAAGCGGGAATAAGTGTGCTTTTACTACGCAGGGCTGACCAAGTGGAAATGTTGTTACTGGAGAAGTGGCTGGTTTTACAAAAGGAAAACTGGATCTGAGTCACCAACAGCATCCTAAACCATCAGTTACCTTACCGATCACAGAGGACCCCGAACGAGCACTGCAAACTACAAGACAGCAAAGAGGACATGGGACTTTCCCACTGAGGCCTCTCTGAATCTAAGGGCAATTGGTTTTATCCATGTGCTACAAGGTGTCCCAAGGAATGTGGGTTGTCCTGTACTGGCTGGACCGAGGACCCTTTGTCATGCTAGATAGCAACCACACTGTTTCCCACCGAAAGGAAACACCTGTCCACCAGATACAAGCAGGTGGAGAGAGCACTTCAGAAGAATGATCATCTGAGAGAATGTTTATTTTAAAACTATCTGCACGAAACGTTGTGTTTGTGGTAAAAACACAAGCACAGACATGCCTATGTCACAAGTATTAATATACAAGGAAGCTAGTTCTCTGTGGAGATCTGGAACGATTCCTGCAACAACTTGCTCTCAGCTGCAGGCAGGACCTCTCCTGGGAGGACATCTGGAAATGTGTAAGGGACACTTCTGGTTGTCAGTGACCAGAGGGGTGCTCCTGGCATTCAGTGGGCAGGAGGCCAGGGAACCTAAACACCGACAGAAGCACCCCACCAAAAATGTCAACAGCACCCCCACGGAAAACAGCATGGAGGAGCATCTGATCACAACAGCCCGCCAGCTCTTTCCGACGCTCCTGAGTTCTTCTGTCGGTGGCTGCAAACACAGACGTCTGTGGCGGGGCAGACCTTTCCTCCTCCCGACCGCTCCGGCGCAGAGGGTGGAGGCAAGGCCGCCTACTGCACAGTTCCCCAGGAATGAGTTAGGCAGAGAGAAGTGGCAGCGAGCGTTTGTTGAGGGCTCAAAGCTAACTGCACAAATGGGCTTGGAAAACATCAGACAGTTTGTGAAAAAAAGTCAAGACTCCTAATGCTGTTTCCTAAGAGGTGAAAAACGGGGTCTGTCCAGAGCTCTTCCTAGCTGCGAAAATGACTGACTGGGAACGGAGCCACACACCTTTACTTCCAGGACGAAATAAGTTAATTACACTTTTTAAATTACGTTTTTTAAGGTTATTTCTTGTTAAAGACACAGAAGCCCCTTTTCCCGGCCATCGCGTGCGTGCACGTGCACGTCCACGCTGAACCACCTGTGCGAGGAGGGGAGCCAGCCTCGGAGCCTCCCCACCCGCCCCTGGCAAGTCCCCAGCAGCCTGGCGGCCCTTAAGCCACCCACCACCATTTTCGCTAGGGGACTGTCGCACAGTCGGTCTCCGCAGCTAGGCCGGAGGCTCCAGGGTAGCCGAGCCCGCCCCTACTCCCTGCGCGGGGGGCACGGGGCACGGCGGCCGGCACGTCTCCGGCGCTGACGGGACGCAGGTCCCTAGAAAGGCAGGGCCTGACCGGCCAAGAGAGGCTCACTGGACCGAGGGGACCAAGGTAGCGGGAGGCCGCCGAACGGCTTCCAGCGAGAAGCGCGAACTGTCCGCAGACCACTCTGGCTCCGGTCCGCGGACGCGCCGCGCACAGGCGGGACCCAGCGGCCGGGGGCCCCGGCCCTTCCGGCGGGAGGCGGAGAGCGGCGGTGCGGGCTTCCGCAGCGGCCGTCCGCAGCTCACGGTCTGCGAGGGGGACTCCGCGGTCCCGTGTGGGGACCCGACCGTGGCCCGGGCGGCGCGCGCTCCAGGGGCGAGCCCCTGGCCGGCCTGCGCCCGCGGGCGGTCGACGCGGGGAAGCGCCGCGCGCGCCGCACGAGCGCGCAGGGACGGAGGACGCGCCCGGCCTCGCCGCCCCCCGGGGCCAGGCGCCGCCGCGCCCCCGCCGGACTCACCGCGGACGCCGGGCGTCTGCACCCGGCGCGCCCAAGCCCCTCGCGCAGCCCGCGCCGGGAGCGGAAGTGGCGCGACGACACTTCCGGCCCGCCCCGCTCGCGGACGGTGGCCGGCCGGCCGTGGGGCCGGAGTGCGCGGGGCGATGCAGCTGCCGCCCGCGCTGCGCTCGCGCTTGGTGGGGGCACCCGGGGCGGCCGAGCCGCTGCCTGTGGAGCGGGACCCCGCGGCCGGGGCCCCGCCCTTCCACTTCGCGGCGCGCCGGGTGCGCTTCCCGCGGGACCACGAGTTTTTCGAGGTGTGTGAGCCAAGGGGCGAGAACGCAGTTGTCGACGGGGAACGCGGCCGACTCCGGGCGGGGGCGGGGCCGGCGAGGGGGGCGGGCCTGCGGGGCGGGACCGTGGGGGTGGGGGCGGGGCCTGCGGTCGTGGCGGCCGCTGGAGGGGCGGGGCCTGCGGGGCGGGACCGATGGGTGGGGGCGAGGCCCGCGGCGAGGGGGGCGGCCGGCTGGAGGGGGCGGGGCCTGCGGGGCGGGACCGATGCTGGGGGCGGAGCCCGCGGTCGGGGCAAGATGGAGGGGCGGGACCGATGCTGGGGGCGGAGCCTGCGGTCGGGGCGGCCTATGGAGGGGCGGGGCCTGCGGCCGCTGGAGCGTCGGAACCACAGCGCCCGGCCCCGCCCACTCCGTGCGTGTCCCGCAGGATGGGGATGTGCAGCGACACCTGTACCTCCAGGACGTGCTCACGCAGGTGACAGAGGCGCCTGAGAGGCCCAGGTGAGTGGCTCTGGGCCCAGCGCCGCCCCCTCCCCAGGCCCTGCCCGCTCCTCCCGGTGACCTGCTGCCCTGCCGCTCTCAGCCCGACCACCGTCCACGCCCCTCTGGTCTGGCCTGGCCGCCTCCTAGCTGGCCTGTGAGAGTTGGATTTGGGATTGGAAAGGACACATCAGTGCTTTATCAGGCCACTTCGAGGACAGGTGTGGACCGGCAGCCTGAGGCCCTCTGTTAGCCGCAGAACGGCCTTCCCACGAGGCGGTTTCCTTCGCCAGGGTGCCCGAGTTCACCTGTCAGGGGGCAGGGTGCTGCCAGGTGTTCGACACCCTGGAGGACTATGAGCACCACTACCACACTCTGCACAGAAACGTCTGCTCCTTCTGCAGACGGGCCTTCCCCTCCGTGCACCTGCTGGACACCCACATACTGGAGTGGCATGACTCTCTGTTCCAGATCCTATCCGAAAGGCAGGACATGGTGGGTGATGCGTCCGCGCCCCCGGGCCCAAGGGCAGTCGTCTGGGGGTGGGGGAGGGGGCTTGTTCCTGAGCTGTCTGCCTGGTGGGTGCCAGCGCCCTGGGGGTCAGGGGCCAGGTGAGGGGGCACCATCAAGGTGGGGGTCAGGACGCGGCGGCACCGTTTGTGTTTCAGTATCAGTGCCTGGTGGAAGGCTGCACAGAGAAGTTCAAGACCGGCAAAGACAGGAAGGATCACCTGGTGAGACGTCACCTCTACCCAGCCGACTTCCGATTTGATAAACCGAAGAAAAGCAGAGGGTACGCGAGGCGGTACAGAAAGCAAGCTGCGGGCCGTTGAATTTAGAAAAGCACTTTGGGTGTAGAGACTCGAGGGGTGCTGGCGCTGTAGTTAAGCATCTGCGTTACTTATGTCACGTTCAGCTGCAGATGCGGAATCACTGGCCCGGCAGTTGTTCGTCAGGAGGCTTAAACCAGGAGGGCGTGGTTCTGCTGCTCTGTTGGGAATGAGTGGGGGTCTCAGAGCGGTGCCTGCCCCGGGGCATCTGGGAGCATCACCCCTGTCTCTGCACTCACACTAGAGCTGTACCTGCACCTGCCCCCCAGGTGCCAGCCCCATGTGGTGCTGACAGCCCCTGGGAATTTGTCCCAGGCCCTGCGGCCCTCCCCTCACACTGACCCTGTGATTTTTTTTTTTTGTCTGGTTGGTGACTTGACAGTAAAGCTCTTTGCCACTGTCGTTGTTAAGAGTGCACCTGGGGAAATGCTTCAGGAGTAATGTTTGAATTTGTGTTGTATTTCTTTGCCTCTTTCAAGTGATTCTTTGGTCCTTCAGAATCTCCTGAGAGTTGTGTTGATTGAAGTTTTTTCAGACAGTTTCTCTCAGTGGGACTCTGCTCTTTAAAGTAATGTAATTCTGAAAGCTGCGGCATGGGACAGTGGGAGGCTTTGGATGTGAGGTGGCTCTCTCCTTTTGGAGGGATCATTTCAGGGAGAAAAGCCCTGCAGTGCTGGGTCCCGTAGGGGTTAGGGAGGAGGCTCTCAGTACTCTGTAGTTAACATTAGTAGATTTCTCAAGTATGGTCGTGAAAAGACTTTATGCTCCCCTGATAGGCATTTACCACACAGCACCCCAGAAATACTATTTTCAAAAGATAAAGTGTAATTGCGCTAAGCTTATACACATGGCGCCTGTCATATAAATGTTCATTTAGGGTTTTGTCTTCGTCCCTGTCTCTGTCTCTAAGAATTACACTATGCCAGGATAGCTTTAAAATATTTTTGCAAGAAGCAGTGGTGTTTTTGTGGCGAGTTGGTCCGTGAGGGAAGACAGAGTCACAGGGCCACCACTCACCCCCCTGTCTCCACAGTCCAGCCACACCGGTGGCCACTGTACAAGTGTTGGCAGAAGCTCTGGGCGATGATGGGGAGCAGTCGGGAGGGGACGCCATGGAAGTCTGCTCTGAACACGCGGGCCCCCTCCCAGAACGCGTGGGCGAGCGGCGGACATACAGCCACAGGTCAGTACCTGCTGTCTTTCTGCAGCAAGTTCTGAATGTGTGTTTTATGAGGATGACGCTGGACTTGACCCTGGGCAGTATTGTCACTGAGAGAAGCAGATGCTGGGTCCGAGTGTTGGCTTCCGCAGCGGTTGACAGCCTGACTCTTTCTGTTTCTCTTGAATATCTCAGTTTCTTGTGTGTGCCCTGCTTTGGGACCCAGGAAGGCAAGGCACCCCCTCCCCTTTGCATCATGGCCTAAACTGGGCTAGAGTGACCACTGGCTGTAGTTGCTGAAGTTATGATCTATAAGTCTTTCTCATACTAATTATTCTCTCATTGGGTTAAACTTGACTTTAAGTCTAATTTGGGGGAAAATGTTGGGCAGGAGGAAAGAGATTGCCCAACAAATGCAAACAGGCAGGAAGGTGGGCTTGTATCCCTTCCGCTGCCCTCATGCTGCCACCCAGACTTTGGCCTGCAAGTGGGTCCTGGATGCCCGTGGCTTCTTCCAGATGCTGGGTCACAGGAAGCTTGGGCCTGGAAACTTGGCAGCAGCGGCCCTCCTGGCCGAGTGTCCCAGGCAAGCACGCTGCTGGCTGGGAGAGTCTCCCTCAGGAAGCAGGTCCAAGGCAGCTGGCCAGCCCCAGGAAGGGGCTGCCCCGGGCCTGGGGTACAGGGCATCCAGGGAAAGGAGCGCCCATGTGCTGAGTGTCCCACAAAGTGAAAGAGAAGGGGCCCCCCAGAACAAGAAGAGCATACTCATGATGCTGCTTTTACGAGTTGGGTTTTTTATTGGCAAAAACCGTAACGGTTTAGTACAAAGATTTGTTTTCCTTTTCAGAATACCTTCTACCATCTGTTTCGGTCAAGGTGCGTCACGAGGATTTAAAAGCACCAAGAAAAGAAAGGAACACCGGTGACAATGTGGACAGAGAGCCATGGGCCTCCGAACAGACCCCGAAGGGGGTGGTTGCCTTTCACATGGTGTCAGTGGTGCGATTTCTCTCGCCTTCTGGTGTGGCTGCCCTAGAACCCAGGCATTTGCCGTCCTTGATCCTCAATGCCAGTCCCTTGGTGGACCACTGTGTGACCGCAGAAGCAGTGACAGGCCTACCAGTTCCAGAAGTGGCCCCAACACATGCTCGGGAATGAAATGGCCGTCCTGAGGATGTGCTTTGTAAACATGTAAATACTTGCCTTTAACAGTCTCCCGTTAGTCTCCAGTTGTCACTTGTGTGTTGTTGAACTGGGTAGAGAAGTGAACAGCAGCTACCCACGGCTAATCTGTTCTCAGTGCTGGGTTTTCAGGAGGATTTACGAAGCCTCAAACCCCCAGGGGGTGAAGGGCAGGACGCAGCACTGAGTCGCTGATGTTCATGGCTTGACAAGAGGTTCCTGGATCACCCCTTCACCACACCAGTGATCAGACCTGATGGGGTTTGGTGAGAACCAGGGAAGGCTCATGCGTGCCTCGGGGGGGCAGTGCGGCCAGGGTGGCTTCTCCAAGGAAAGACCATGATGGGGCAGTGAGGGAGCGTCACGGCGAGGGAGGGGGCTCTGGCCAGAGCTCCAGGGCCTGGCCGGCACATGCTCGGCAGGAACAGAGTGGAGTCATTGTACCCTCGTATGGATGAGCGTAATGCCGCTACCAGGGAAGCAGTGCTGGGAGCAGCACCTGAACGGAAACAGTGGGGTCAGCTCCGTGTTGATACAGTTGGGGCTCTCAGGGCTAGACCTAGCGGAGTGGGGACCCAACAGCAGGGTCTCTCTCTGGAGGCCCCATCTCCATCAGGCATGCACCTGGGCTGCTCCTGTGCTGACTGCTGGCTTGAGGGCTCCAGCTCAGCCAGCAGCAGGAGGATGGGCCTGCCTCTCCCCACCTCACCTCCAGCCTGTCCTTTCTGGGCTCTGGGCTTGGCCAGAGGCAGCTGGTGGTCATCTGTGGCTCCTGGCATGGAGGCTGGTGCCCCAGCTCCCGCTGAGCCACCCCTGTGACTCTCCGGAATCTGGAGCAAAGGGAATGTCCAGGGGGGTCATGTCACACCAGTAGTTTCACACAGTAAAAGCTCTAAAGGTGGGCTACCAAGTGCTTACAGAAAAAAACAAAACCTAAAGTGCAGGTCCTAGGGCATCAGCAAGAGACCTAGCATGCACTTCGTGGAGGGGGGCGGGCAGGGACCAGCCTTGGCTGGGGGCGATGTGTCAGGGCTGACCCAGAGTCCCTCCTTTGTCTCTTAAAAGCACAGCATAGAGACAGTGCTAACATGCGAAACTCCCATTCTGTCTCTGTCCGCCTCCCCTCAGAGACCTTTCCTTCTCCAGCTCCTGCACGGTGCCTCGCACTGCCCCCGCCGTCTGCAGGAGCACACTGGCCTTTCTCACTGCAGCACGTTGTGCCAAACCTCCTTGTCCACGGTGTCAGCCCCAGTAAGACTGCCGTGTGGTCTTTGGGGCCTGTCCGTCCTGGGTTCCAATCCTTGCTTTGGCCCTACCCAGAAAGCTGCTCGTTCAGTCTGTCCTGGTTTTTCTTCTGAGAAATGGAGGATGTCAAACTTTAGGGAGAGTGTTTCTGCTGCCAAACCTGGGTGTGGTTTCCAGGTCCGATGTCAAGGGGAACGTCAACTGGACACGTTGACAAGGAAGAGCTCGTTTGCATGGGAGTAGGACTCAAGGGCGGGCTGTTTGAGGGCGCTGAGTTTGCCTCCGTCTATTTGTAGTGGGAAACCGGTTTATCACACTTGGGTCTAAATATTCAACATGTTATTTGGGAGACCAGAGCCCACTGGGGTAACCGCATTTGTTCCTAATTGGTGTGTGAAGTGCTCAGGCTCACAGGGAGCAGGGCAGAGCATCAGCCTTGGCTCTCATCCTGGGGGCACTGTGTCCTCAGGCTTTGCCAAGTTCCTCAAAATCGTATTCAGAACCTCATGAGTCTGCTCAATGCCCCTTGGCTCACCTTTTCTTTCTTTTCTCTTTTTGTACCTTATTTTGGATGGAGTGGGTTTCTTTTCTCATTCTGAAATTAGGTAAGTTAGGCACCCTCTCATGCTATCTCAGAAATTTTAATATGTGAATACTTGTTCGGATCCAAGATTAATCAGTATTCTTTCCCTTCCCCCAAACCGTACATGGACTGTGGACGTTCGACTCCACCATCTGGAGCCGTGTGTGTGATGAGAGGTGGACGCCGGCCTCTGGGTCCGTCTGTGTCCCCACACACTGCAGCCCCATAGTTAGCACTGATTCTGCTGGAAACATTGTCCTCCTGCCTAACAAATCTCTTCAGAATTTCCTTTGGTGAGGGTCAGGAGGAACGGGCATTCTCAGTTCTCTTTGCCTGGAGAAGCTGTTCTGTTCTTGTTCTCGGAGGAGAGTTTGGTCAGGAATACAGCCCTTGCTGGCAGCCCCCCCAAGTGGGGTGAGGGTCTCGTTCACCTCATGGCTGCTGCTGAGGGTTCAGCGGTCAGTCTTGCCGCCCTTCCTCAGAAGGGCTCTGTCTGGCCTCCGTCTTGACTGTTCTGCGGGCTTGGCGGTTAAAGGGATGTGCATGTGCACCTGCTGGCTCTTCACGCCATTGTGCGAGCCTGGGGCCTCAGCTCCTCACACACTGCCCTTCCCCGATTCTCCGTCCCTTCTCCTTCTCAAACTCCAGCCATGCATGTCTCAAACCTTCTCCCTCAGTGAGCTGTGTTTCTCACCAGCCCTTCCATATTTTCCATTCCTCTGTGGTCTTTGCTTCATTCTGGATGATTTCTTCGGTTCTACTTTCTAGTTCTCTAATATCAGTTGTATCAAATGTGCTGTTAAACTCATTCAGATTTTAAATTCAGTAGGTACGATTTTCAATTCTGTTAGTTTTGTGTTGTTTTTCTAATTTCTTGTATTTTTATAGCTTTCGTCCATCACATTTTCAATTCTTTTATTTCTTTAAACATATTAAACTAATTTTACATTATTGAGTGATACCAATATTTGAAGATTCTGTGGGTCTAATTCTTTCGTCTATTTCTTCTGCTCACTCACTCATAGTGCCTTGTTTCCTGGTGAATTTTGTGATTTTTGACTGTAAGTTTATATTTTTTGGAACTTTTCTTCGGGAATTTCTCTGACATGTCTGAATTCTTCCAGCAAAACTTAGTATCTGCTTCTGCCTTGTGACCGGGGGTGCTCCCAATCTTGGGTCATTTTAAGATGAATTGTTAGGTAGGGGTTTTCAGTCCAGTCCACTTTTCCTACAAATGTCCTTTCTGTGTCACCTTTGCATGACCCTCAGCCAAAGCAGAACATCACATTGAGAGAAACAGATCCCCTCATTTCACTCACAGCAAGAGAGTTAGAAATAAAAATAACCTGAGGCCTTTTCTTACACATTCAATTGTCAGAAACCCAGAAGTTTGGTTGCCCTCTGTTGTCAGGGCTGTGTGGAAGCAGGCATCCCACACATTGACAGGGCGATGCTGAGTGCTGAAACCCCCAAGAGGATTTGGCAATATCTAACACAACTGCATTTGCATTTACCCTTTGACCCAGCAAATATGCTTCTAAGGATAGATCCTAAACACACATTGGCAAGAATTCAAAAGATCTACTTAAAAGGCATTTTATTCAGCACAATTTTTAATGACTAAAGACTGAAAACAGTTCAAATGTCTCAAATAGTGTTGAGAACTGACTTTTTTTGGCATGGTAAAAAGAAGATACAGATTTAAGATCAGTGAAATTAATAGAAACCTTGTAGTCCGAAATTTGAATTAGAAGCATTGCTATGTGCTCACTACATATATTTTGCATATTCCAGTATGGGTATATTGTTAAATCAGTATTTTTACTGAAAAGCCTGGATTCATTTTTAGAAGTCAAGGAAGTTATTAAGGGATGCTAAGCTTGGACTCAGGAGCCAACTTAACTAGGGTCCCACTGGCCAGAGATATGATAGCTTGAGCATCATTGAGAATCACAGTTGCAGCTGAATGAAACAGATCAAATATATTTAATCCTTTGAGCTCATGATTTTTTTTTAAGATTTATTTATTTTTAGAGAGAGAGGGAGTGGGGGGTGGGGCAGAAGCAGAGGGAGAGAGAGTCTTAAGCAGACCCCGTGCCGAGTGCAGAACCCAACGTGGGGCTCAGTCCTATAACCCTGAAATCACTACCTGAGCGGAAACCAAGAGTTGGACACTTAGCCAACTGCTCCCCAAGGGCATTCTCAAAGCAGTGAAAGAGTGGATAAGAGCAGTGGGAGAAGAGTCAGGATACAGGCTGAATTGGAGGCCAGTTCATAGGAGAGAACCCCGAAATAAGGAAACTGGGAGGAGCCTCCTAAAGTCAAATATCAAACACCTCCGAAACCAAGGAAGCCAGACTTGATTGGCTTAGTTTGTAGAGGAATTTGTGCCCAGGCTATTGCTGATGAAAGTAGAGCAATCAGCCAGCAACCAGGGGTCAGGGAAGCGGGGGCCGGGGGAAAGCACTGTTATCCCAGGGGGACTGTGGGCTACCCAAAGCCGCACGGTCCTCCCACACACATCAGAGGCTCAGCACGTTGTGGGTGGGGAGGTGGAAAGGAACAGTCTTCACTAAAATCATCCAGCCGGACACTAAACAAATAAGCAAATAAATAATAATAGGCCCCAGAGGAGGGGGATTAGTACCCGGAGTTGCTATGATATAGTAACTGTAATGTGCAATTTCCAACAGAAAATTATGAGGCATGCAGAGAAAGGAATGTACAACCCATATACCTGAAAAAGCAAGCAACAGAAACTGCCTATGGGCAGGACACAGTGTCATATTTATCAGAAAACACTTCAGAGTAGCCATTGTAAACATTTCACGAAACTAAAGGAAACTGGTTAAAGAATTAAGGAAGGGATGAAGACAATGTCTTATGAAATAGAGATTATCAACAATGAGAGAGAAATTATTTTAAAAAAGAACCAAGTGGAAATTCTGGAGTTGAAAAGTACCATAACTGAAATTTTTTGAAAAGCCCACTGGAGGGGCTCTACAGTAGAGCTGAATTAGAATAAATGAGCATGAAGATAGATTGAGATTGTGTATGCTGGAGAACACAAAGGAAAAATAATGAAGAAACATGAGAAGAGCCTCAGGGAGACCTGGGGCACCCCGAGGAACACCAGCATACACATGATGGGAATACTAGAAGAAGAGAGAAAGGGGCAAAAGTTGAAGAAATCCTGGCTAAGGACTTCCCAAACT